ACTCACTGATTGACTGGTAACAGTTGTGTCTGTAATGACTGGGTGTTGAAGGAGCACCAACCAAATCTCTGTTATTCTCATATGATTCTTCCAAAGACAAATTATTTCAGTTCAATGTAGCAGCCGTGTATTTAGTCCTGGCACCAACTGTAGTTATAGATATTTTGATACGATTTAGAGGGTAAAGAGAAATATCTGAGTTTAAAAGCCCAGAGTGGAAATCACTTCTGAATGTCTGGGATACTCTATCCTTCAGGTGTCATTGCCTTAGAAGCCACTATGCAAATGTAATGAACATCTTTAATAGTCTCTTTGACTGAGTTCATTACCAAATTGCACACATTCTGGAGAAGAGGTTGAACAATTTTGTTACTGCATTTATTAAATTTATTTTTTCCAACAGCACTGTTTATTTTCTCGACTACTAATTTTCATCAAAGGCTCAACAACGTTCCTCTCTAAGATGAAAAATAAACAAAAACTAATGAGGCAAAAACGCTGACCTGGTGGACGACGAATCAATGCAGACTCGGTCTTGTAAACTAAAGAAATAAATGAGGGTGGCAACAAATTGGAGTTTTGTTTGTCGCTTAAAGGCGTGAATATAGCAGGTCCATTTTGGACAGTCACTACACATTCATCCATCTATCCATCGATCAACTGTAGGTCAAAGCCCATTTAGGGTTTTATGAATAATTTATTGAATTGTATAAATATGAAAATCTTTCACATACTCAACAAAGTCTGATTACATTTAGATGAATAAAATATTTTTATATTTCTTCAACTAAATCTTCACCAAAATAAAACTGTCCTATTGACTAATTAAGTCAAAAGCCAACTATATTATATATTATACAATGGTCCCTTTAACTATAGTGATGCAAATTGACTTTGCACTGATCAGAGGGTTCCAGGTTCCTATGGAACTTACAGGGGTATCTGTAAATTCATACTTTAAAATCTGATTTGTGTTTAATGTGAATAATTATCCTCCAGAGGAATGGAAATCCATATGATTCCCCCAGCATTACACCTCAGCACAATAAATCATTGAGCCATGATCAATAAAAAGAGAGAAAAAAAAAAACTGACGTTCTGCTGAGATCTATCCTCCTCGTCTCAATTCTCTGGTAGCTACATTTAATATATACCTATAAATAAATAAAAACATTTCCGTTAAATATAAAAACTGATCAAATGGAAACCAAATATACAAACTATAAATAAAAAAATCTGTCACTTTTATTTAGTGCAAAGTTGATATAGTTCCTGGTGAAACAGCATCACTCTCACATTCCTGAGATAAACATCTCTTTGCACTAACGTATTGACAAAAGGAAATTCTTGGCAAGACCCAGAGGTTCCAGTTTAAATGAGTCTCACTTGTAATCTATTCCATCTCCAGTTTTCTGCTGCCTTCTGTGAAAGGAATTCAAATACCACTGAAGTCCAATACTGCTGATCTCGACAAAAAAACAAAACAAAAAAACCCACAAATTTATATCTTTTTACTGGGAATACTAAGGCCCAGGCACATAAAGAAGGGTGAAGTGCTGACACCAGATACATCTGGAGGGAATGTGTTAACTTCCCCTGCTGGAGAGGCAGCTGTGACAGGACGGAGTCTTACAACAAAGACTTCACCTTATACCTGACATTGATAATAAAAACAGATGAAGAGTTTAATGTTGTTATTTCATCTGGCCAACAGTTAAATCACTTTAAACAGTTACAGCTGAATCAGCTTTAGCTAAAAACTACCATAACATTTATTGTAAATATTGTTAGAAATAAAATATTAAAATAAAATATTGTTAGAAATATTGTATATATTAAAATATTGGTTTTAATACAATTAGACTTTAAGCTTGTTGTTTTAAATTATTACAAAAATAATATTATTTCTGTTACTAAAATTTGGCAATTTTTAAAAAATGTCTCACAACAGAATGTTCCACAAAATTAAGCCCTAAAGATTCTGCTCCCTGATGATAAATGACTGTTTTATTAGGATTACTCAAACCAAACTTGGCTAGTTGCACAATGTCAAGTCATTCTTACGGCTGACAGCAACATGATTGACTGAAGCGTATAGTAAAGCTTTTCTATCAAGGTGATACCTGGGCTTTGACTGATGTCTGTCACTCTGGGTTTTAAAATTGCCTCTTCAGGGCAATAAATTCACTGCCTCATTCATTTCCATGGACCTAGCTTATGCTGAATCAGCATTAGGTGATGGTGTGCAGAGGGCATCAGTATCATTGTCATTCTCAGCTCTCACTGTTATGGTATTTCTAGCCAGCTTTCTTCTTCCTCCATCCGGTCTGCCTGACAGACACTTGGCTCCTCATTGGTGCACAGTAATTCACTTTTCTAATATCATCAGAACGGTGGCATCGGCGTGCCAGATTGCTAAAATAGGCATCAGTCAGTTATGACAGCAGCAGACACCACACAGGCATCTGCCACTGAGGAGGCTGTGGTTGGTCCCAGTACTGTGCTTTTATGGATCAAACTGTGGAAGCGAAACTCTGTCTAGGTCACAGTTTGTATTCTCATATATTATATAGTGTTATTTCACATTATTATAAACCTGGACTGATGAATATGTTCGATATTATCGAAATAATCAATACCAAAGAATTGCTAAAAAAAAAAATCTTAAGATACGGTAATCCCTCCATCTATCTAACAGACAGATCCTGAAAGAGAATGACATTTAATACGCCTAAAAAAGGCCAACATCAGACCAAGGGGTATGCGTCTTCAAAAGACAACATCAAAAAATAACCAAGGACAGGTCATCAATTGTAAGGTAAAGATTGTACCAAGTGTAAACTAATGTAAAAGTTACTAAATAAATTCACCCAAGAGATAGTTGAAAGTCACTTTGAACTTAAAAAAAAAAGTCTGTGTGTAAATCTATGATGGACAACAATACAATTAATATTAAATAACTAATAGAACATTTCTCTACACTCCATCACCTGACTGAGGTCAGTTGCAGTAAATGTTAGCTGAGCTGTTTCAGAGCCAGTGGGCTCTGCTGGTTGAGTGGTGAGAGAGAACTTTCACAGCTGCATCTGTAGCAGTGGTGAAAATTATGACAAATCCCTTTCTCTGCATGACCGTCACTTTGCACAGTCCCAGCAGCATTCGCAGGTGTTTAAATCATGTCTTTTCACCACTGACCATGTCAATAAATTCTCTGTAAACATGTGCCCTCTGGTTACAGATGTTTAGCACCAATGTTCCTGCTCAAATAGTCTTCGAACCGTCAATCTGCTGCTCTGACGGTTAGTTGCTAGTTCGTAGCAGTACTCTGTGCCTTTAACCAGAAGATGCAGCTGACTGAACCCATTTTGCATTCATCCTTTACTCCCCTCCTCTACACACCACTCCACTCTACTCTGCCTCCCTCCCTCTCCACTCCATTGCCCTACTCCCTCCTTTTTTTCTTCCCTTATCCCCAACCATGGCTGTCATCAGAATGCAGAGCCTATCTGGAGGACCTCACACAGAGTAATTATTAATAAAAGAAGATGACAAGCGAACATCCCTCCTGAATGCTAAGAGATGCCAACAGGGACTGTAGATGGTCACATTCTCGCTTTCAGAGATGCTGGACAAGGCCCAGATCCACTTTCCCATCCATCCCCTGTTCAAAGTCATTTACGGGAGAGGCCGGGGAATATGGAGGTCACATTTTGATATTTGTTTATGTGTGCACAGCATTTATAAATAGAGCTCGATACTTGTACACTCTAAATACCAGGGTTTCAAAGAACACCTACAGAAATACTTACTGAGAATTGCTCATGTTGAGGTCTTGGTGCTGCAAATGGATGCCCACAATAACTGGTCTAAAGTGTGAAATGTGATTTCACCACCGCAGAGACCTGGCTCCTACCACACCTACAAAACAGGGAAGTGAATGAGAAATACAGCAAATCATGTGGTCAAATGTTAAGTGATGGTATAAAGATATTATAAGAAAACAGTCCAGTACATTCAGATATTACATTTCAAACACATTTCTCTGGCCTTTAAAAAAAGTTAAATGCTTACATACAACTATATAATCTTTAGTATGAAATTACAAGTTTGACGGTAGTTCTTACACTTTTCTCAAAAGTGACCCATCTTTAGATTCTTCAGCTGTGCTCAACTATTTTCCTGGGGAGCACTAAAGTGTAATGGATTTTAAATCTCTGCTCCGCTCTGTGAATCAGGGGCTGAGGAACATCACACCTCTTGCATAGCAAGTACAGCAAGGATGCTCACTCTTTGTGCCACAGGATAGAGAGCCATTGATGGCCATGTCTGCTCTGTCAAAGCCCACTCCAGCTGCTTTGCAGGAAACAGGCAAGGCATGACGGACCAGAGAAGCCAACGTAATTCAACAAATTTCCCAAATGACAATGTCAGTTTTTGTCCAATATGTCAGTGCTGCAATTAAAAGTCAGTAAATGACAGTTCACAAATGCACTGATAATTTTAAATGTCCACATCTTAATTAATAAAACATTTGATGAACTCTGTAGAGCTACACAAATATGCAAAAGGAACCTGGAGACATAGAAGTATAGGACTCGAAATCCATAACATCAACTTAAACACTTCACCAAGAAATAGGCCAAAAGGCAGTTTTTGGTTCCAGGATGTGCAGGAAATCGCACACAGGACCCAAAGAATTCATTGAAGATATGTGAACACAGGGGCAAGTGTTTCTGGGAAAAGATAAATAACAGCACTTGTCTTCAAATGGCACAGTAAGGATCTGAAACCGATCCGTTGTGCTCTAATTTAGGTAGAAGCAGTTGTCAACCTAATCAAGATGCATTTGCAATCGTTATTCACCAAGTCCTGTAGCCATATAAGAATGTATGGTGCTCTCAACATCCCCACATTGTGATGAGAGGTCGCACAGATTCTATGTATCATTTTACTTCAATACACAGACTTGTCACAGGAACTAAGATTCACCAACCTTTTTGTTTTTTGGCTCTACATTGTGTAGCGTGGTCGTGACTCCTTTGCCCTCGCAGAGATGATGGTTATATCTCCCTCCTTGCTGCTCCTGTGGCTGCTGCTGCTGCTGATGGTGATGATCAGAGTGAGAATCTTGCTGTATGCAGGCTGCGATCCCACTCAAATTTGCCTTGGCCAAACACCCGTATCCTCTCACAGAAGACAGCGCACGACGACACGAACACCTACTCGGGAGTGAAAGCAGCATCCTTCAGACGACGGGGCTGTCAGTGGATCAGGCGGATAACGACATGTTCCGTTGATGCCATGATGTGCTGGCAGGCAGGGCTTCCCCCACACAGAGTCAGCGGGGAGTCCAGTCCATGTGCCGGATCTGAAAAGGACGGAGCACCGGGAGCTGTCTAGGTGCTGAAATCGGGATTTCAGCGGCGACTTGTGTCTCCAGCGGCGCAGCGAAGGCAGTGGAAACAGCAGATTTCTATTAAAACACAAACACACTGATACACACACGCGCGCACAGATAACATAACATCAATTGATAAAAATCATCCTCGCGGACTGATAAAAACCCAACGTCCCCTCTCTCCTTCTGCCACCCTGGAAGCGTCGACGAAGAAAAGCACTCTTGCTTCACTTCACCTCTTGAGCTTCACTTTTCCTCGCGATAACAACCCGTTCTCATTTAAAAAAAAAAATCTCCTCTAATCTTACTGTGACTTGCTAGTGGCTGTGTCGTTTGTTGTAACAGGCAGTAATGTATCTAAGGGCGGCATTACTGCAGTATAACCAAAGGCGATTGGCTGAAACGATGCCCCCGAAAAAGACCCCTGAAACAAAATCCAAAAGTTGAAGAAAAATGGCATATGTGCGTCGTCGGAGATATGACAATATATTTTGGTAGCATATATCCTCAATCTCCCTGCACAGAAGACCTGTGGACAATATATTTTATATATATATAATAATTAATATTTCATATATAATTAATATTTATTGATATATTGGCCAATAATATATTCTTCTATATATATATATATTGTTCAATAATATATTCTTCTATATTTACAAAAAGCTATGGGTTCTACCTGTTTTTAAAATGGCAGACAATTCATTTATAAAGTTCAACACAAACTTGTGTGTGTGAGCCTTTGGTTGATGCTCCTTTTATAACTAATCCTGCGACTCAAGTCTTTGCTGAAGCTGCTGCACTGTCAATTTAATGACCTTTTCAGTCACACCTCGCCTTTGTTCTCTTGTGTAGTTAGAATGTGTCACTGTCAGTCCGTTTGTTTTTGTTCCTGTCTCGTCATTATTCTTCCATCAAACATGTTTGAGAACTGTAATGTCAGACGGGACGGATTCAAACATTTTGGAGCATTGGACAAATAAAATGACATGTCCAGCCGATGAGTCACCTAACGGTTCGGAGAATTGAGCGCTAATATGTTTTCTGAATGAAGTGGTGCGACATGTTCTCACTCTGTTGACAAGGAAGTTCCCACGATTCCTCTCATTCCTCCTGTGCATACCTGACATTCACGTTCTTCTGTTCAAACCCTCTTCGACACCAGCAGTGTTTTCTTCTCCCAGACTCTACTTTGTCTCACCCTTTGACGCCCGTATCACCACTTTCCCAGCGGCTCTACATGGTTTTGGACCTAAGGCAGTTACTCCCTCAACAGCTGACGACACGTTGTGACAAACTACACACTTAAAATTACCCAGAACCGTTAGGTGCGTTAGAATCCTGGCGTTTCGCCCGCCATTTACAATGTGGACAAACTGCCATCACGACATTTTTTCTAGGCCATGGGAGGAGCACGCCCACGTCAGTTTCTGCACAGGTACAACAAAACGCCGTGGAGAGGTTTGGTTACAAATACTCACCTTCACTAACAACTAAAAGCCGAGATTTAGGGGAGAAGGTAAGGACTAATTTCTGTCTTATTACAAATAAAATACTGGCGTCTTTCTTAAAAGAACCTATTAGATGTAGTTCAGTTTATGTAATTAGGTTTAATGTGACTTTAACGTCTGACACACTTGATACGTCATTCTTTTCTTTCTTATAACTGGAATCTTTCTTCAACATTCAGGAAACAGCAAAAAAGAAAAACAAAATCCAAATGATGGCAGGTAAGAAAAAAAATGAAATTATACACATATATTTTAACTGATTAATTACATGTGTCAGATATGTAACAAATGTCCTATGGTTAGAGCACGGTGATCCTTGTAATGGGCAGGAAGCCACCTACTGTATGAACGGTGCAACCTGCTACAAAATACCTTCCATGAACACACTCTCCTGTGTGTAAGTTCACCCAGCGCTGAAATGAAAGCACATTCTATGTTGTAACACATCACAAGAGCTAAGAGCCGTCCTGTTTTGACTGGCACTCATGTCAAATCTTACTTCAGGTGCAACGACGATTTCAAAGGCAGCAGATGTGAACAGTTCGAGCTCCAGCTCCCGAGCAAGATCAGCAACTCAACAGAAGCGGGGTTAATCGCAGCCGTGGTCATCGTTACCCTGATCGCCTTGGTCATACTGGCTCTTCTTATCTACTACATACGGAAGTAAGAACATTATGATTGAAGTCAGACTGTTTTCCACATAGACAAGAGTGTGTCATTGTGTTTGAATGATATTTATATATACAATAGAGAGAAGCAACAGTAATCACCTGAAGACTTTAAATCCATTCGCCACTGCTTGTGTCCACACACAGGATGATGAAACTGAAGAAAGAGAGCAAACAGAGCAACCAGCAACAGTACTGGAAAGTGGCACCGAGGGTATAATCTGTACCAACTCTGTGAAATGATTAAGTAATTATACAGCATGACCACGACAGAACAGACAGAGGAGAACCGTTACTTAAGTTGAGGCATGTAAAGATATGACACGAATAATTAACAGCCTCCTGAGATTTAGAGCTTATCCTCTTTTATACACAAGTGTCACCCATTAAAACACACGAGTATAAATGGATGGGAATGAAAATAACTTTTAACACATATAACTAGATGAACTGTGTCGCTCCTGTTAGATCACATTTCAATCTTTGTGCTTTGACTTACAAAGCACAGTTGGACTATGAAAAAACAACTATTTTTCACATTTTAATCTGTGTAATTTATAATATATAAAATTATAACAACTCTTGTATTAGTTAACTTTCTGTACGTGTACTAAAGTAAATTATTTGTAACTGTGTAATCACATTTGTTAGGCGTTCTTTATGGGAACTGGGTGACCTTGACAAACACACACACACTCTTTAACACACATACTGGGTGACCTTGACAAACACACACACTCTTTAACACACGTCTGATTCCGGTTGATTAGTCATCCTTTTTCTGAACCTAATCTTTGATTTAAGATAAACTGTAAACCAAAAATATTTCTCGAGTTGAAATGAGAGAAACACTAGAAATTTCATATCTTAAAATGCTTGATCTGGTTTACCTATTACATTTAAAAACATACTGCGTCATACTTATTATCACATCAATAGCTTTAGTCAACGTCAAATGACGTCACTTAAACTTATTTAGATTTATTTGCTATTGTTCGTCTTGGCTCAAGTCTAGTGAAACGTTGTTTTATTTCAAACTACAGCACAAGTGCTCTGAAAAAGGCTATTAATTTAAATTAAAAAAAAGGTAAAAAGCCTCAGAAACTTTAGTATAAAAACAATATATGTACATGACGCATTTAATACCGTAGTTGATAGATGCACAACCTTGCTAATGGCCACTCCTGTTGGCAATATTAGGCCACTGCGTCATTCCGTTTTTCCAAACTATTTTAAGCGATGAGAAAATACGTACCGTAGTTCGGAAGTGTTCTCAAAGTTACCACGTGACATAGCAACCTCGGGGCTATCTCCTGTAGATTTACATAAAAATATAATTGAATTATGTAATACGCCTTTTAGTCCTCAAATACAAATAGGCTACACTCGATTTCTAATGAGACAGTGCTGTCCTTAGACATTTGGTGATGTCACAGGTCAGTGTTAGGTACACAATACGGCGAACTGCTTCCACCTAGTGGCAGAAACGCCTCACAGACATGGGATTTTAATATTCATTTATAAAAATAAACTTTAATCGATTTAATTTACCATCCGTGAGAAAAATGTATGAAATGTTCGTTGTAACACTGATTCGCTGAACACAAAAAGCTGCAGCAAAACTATGGGCGGATCACAAAGTTTACATAAAATATACTATGATAAAACTGTGCATATCTGTCAATATTTCACTCTTATGAACTGTTGGCTCTGTCAAACTCGTGGGCAATTTTTAGCGCCGTGGTATTGAGTCCCACTGACTGCATGTTGGTGATGATAGTGACCACAACTCCTTTTGGAAGGAGACAACTTTGATCTTTGTGCTGCACTATAGTTTCACTGGGTAATACAAGGAGGACACTGCTGGCCCCCACAGCGCCCCCTGTGTGTGACACATAGTGCCTGCGCTTCCTACACTGCCCATATTTCTGCAGTTTCTCTACCACAAGCCAGGCCTGGGCGTAGAGCCCGTCTTTATCCCAGCTGGCCTCCGTCTTGTCCACTGGTGTCCATAGTTCTATGGCAGTTTTAGGTTTAAGGAACCCAGGTAGCAGGTTCTCAGAGTTATTCAGCTGCGCCACCTGGTAGCTGTAGAGGAGGGCATTACCAAACAGCAGCAGGTCTCCCGCTGTGGAAAGGAAGCCGCCTCCTGCCCACTTGTAAGAGTTGTCAACATACGGGCAGTTGACGACTCGTCCTTTCTTGTTGAAATGATAATATCTATAGACAAAGAGAAGAATTCTACTGAGTGATGGCAAAACATTGATAAAGGGGAAATATATCAATAAATGATGAACTGACTTGAAAGTTAAATTAGATGTAAAGAGATGCCTGTAAATTAACTTATATTCATTCAGGTTTTTAAGTTGACATTTAAATGTTAGTTCTCTACACTATTTTATTTAGAAATAATTGAATTTATGACATATACCCCAAATGTAATGAAATAAATAAGCTGATATAAGCTTATTGCAGTTACATGTAGAAACACCTACATCAGAGCAAATAAGAACAAAAAAGAGAAGATATTGTTGAGTAGATTTCTTTCTCAAGTCCAAATAACAGCCTGAACTCATATTTTACTACATAAAATAACTTTTCATATAGGTAAAGTAAAAGCTATGTTAACTTGACAGTGGTGATGCAGATACCTGGCTCGGTGATAAATAATAGGGTCATTCTCATCAGGCACAGTGTGAATCATCCCCAGCTCTCGAAACATGTTCATCATGATGTCCAGGAAGTACTGACCAGCAGCTCGCTCCATGACAGCACTTAGCAGCGTGAAGGCGTGGGTTGAGTACAAAAAAGTAGTGCCTGTAAAAACAGAACGATAGTGATTTAGGAAAGAGCAATTTTTGAGGTTATAAAATTATATATTTTGTATTTTCACATTTTGTTTTAGCAAAGTAACGACTTAACCAGGTTTAAAAATGAGTGGGTCGTCCTTGAAAAGGTTCAAGGCCTGAGTGACGTTTTCAAAGTTGTCCTTCAAGTAGTATTCCTCATGCTCGAACTCCTTCTTCTTTTGAGGCTGAGAAGCTTCTTTGGTTTTGGCATTCTGCTCTGCTGCGAGTGAATCTTTGTTTTTCTCCTCTTTCTTTTCTTTAGATGGTAGTTTTAACAGTCTCTTGGCCTTCTCTTTGTCTTCTTTCACCTTTTTTGCATCCTTCTCGTAGTGTCGTATACCACTGAGGTGGGAGAGAATCATACGGGCAGTGATGGTGACCTGAAGGAGTTAACAAGCAAAGTGCATGAAAGCAGGTGGACGAACTAGAGCTGCAGAAATGTATTAATGTCAGTAAACTTACATCCTCTCCTTCAAATTGTTTCTGTGGGAACTCTGGGACGTATTTCTGGACTGGGACATCCAGATCCAGTTTCCCTTCTTCACACAGTCGAGCGGCAGCTGCTGATGTGAGGGGCTTACTAATGCTGGCGATTCTCATGACTGTTTCTGGGGTGCATGGAACACGGTTCTCCATATCAGCATAACCCATTCCTGCAATACATAAAGATTGGATTAAATAAAGGAAAGTCAGATTGAGTCAAAGTTGTGCAGTTTAATGCAATGTACTGAAATAAATGCTTCGCAATTGGTTTCCCTAGAAACCAGTTTCACCCTATTATTCAGTCTGTTTATCTGTGGATTAATGAATGGCAGAAACACAACAACATTTTTTTTGCCAGGAAGACCAGGAATGTTGGCAACTGGCAGCTGAAAGAACTTTTATCAGACTTTAATTTGTTTTAAAGCTAACGCTGGAACACACATTTTGATGTTGTATGAGCCAAACAACTTTTACAATGTAACGTCTGTGGTTACAAAATGGAGGCATAAAAGCATCAGGAGCACTTAACTGACTATCGCCAGACATTAAGACTTTAATCTACTTAACCAAGTAAATATTAGTTTATTTATTATGTAGGGCCTAATGAAAAGCAATTAGAGTAGCAAATGAAACATGAAATTACCACAGTTATTTTGTGGCTCATAAAGATCTTCACTGCAAAAGTACCAGATCAATATTAACCCTGAAGTCATCTCCTCTCCCGTCTGAACCATTTTAGCCATGAATGATTTTTCCAACGACGTGAATAAAGAAAGCTTTATTGGCAGCTTTGCCCTGTAGTGCCTTTTACCATCTGCTACTTTTAGAATATATATATGTATATTAATACACATATGCATACATGCACACACAATACGTAAATATTTCCTTTACTTTTTAGAGGTTCTTGTACAATAGTAATTGTTTTTCTCTGTCATGAGGCCAGAAAAGAATATTGTTATTTTTTTTAAGTTGTGTGCAAATGTTTTAAAAAGTCAAAAATGCCTCCTGTTAAATGTCACTTTACAGCAATGTATAAGCTGTGTAAATGAAAGCTAACTTATTTATTAATTTGTGAATTAACACAATTTTCTCAGGGAGAAATATGTAAAGCTTAACTTTGACATTTTTTGTAGGAATGGCTCGATAACTTGGAGTAACTGCCAATATCTATATTAATCCGATAATTTCTTTACTGCTGCGGGCTGCCGTTGCTGAGACGATAGCATCACTGATTATGACATGTTCCGCAAAGTAAAGTTTAGCATTTGGGCTTCGGTATCAGATCAGATGGGCTATAGTTGTTTTTTATATATATATATATATTTCAAGTAAACAAAATAAGTCATTAACACTAGGATAAAGTGTGATATGATGATTGAATAAAGACAGTAGTAACTTGCATCAAAGTATATTTCAGTGATGATGGCAGTGTGCAGTCAATTTAAAAAACCTTAAGCACCAACCTTCACACCAGACCTGAACCCCATCCACAGAGACCCCAACCACCAACCCAGGAGCTGCAACCTCAGCCTGACAGAAACAGAAGGGAGACATGGGGCACACACAGGTGAAGAAAGTTAGGAGGGGCTTTGTGTCAGTCACAAGACTTGTGGGCATTATAGATAAAAGTGCATACAGCAACTGTACATTAAGGAAAATAGTAAAATAAACCACACAATAACAATGGAACACAAGTAATTTGCACAGAGTAGCCACAATAGCTTAAAGCTAGCTCATAAAAGATCACTTAGCACAAAACCTGTGTACTTTAGATAGCATAGCTTAAAGAAAATACCTACACACTCTATACAGACATAAAGCACAGCAAAAAGGCAATACTTTGCCAAAAAATATAAGAAATAGCAATAGAATACCTCAAAGTTCCCCTGGAAATTGTTTAAAGGAAAATATTCACTGTTAAAGCAGTAAAAGTATGTCGATACATTCTCCCCATGCCAAAAATGTTAGCAGTGGTTATGTAACCACAAAAATGATGATAATGTTGTTTCATAAACTCAGATCGAAGACTGGTAATCGTAAGTTTGAGGCAAAAATATGACTGAAGTTTTCATTTATTTATTTATTTACTTTACTACAATGACAATGCACCATAAATTTACTCATAAAGCGAGAGAAATACACTGGGCATTTTAACTTCCCCTGCAGGGAAATAGATGAAGATACATTCCCTTATTTTATAAAGGTATTTCTGCATACTGAACCCATAGCGAGGAAAGTTATAAACGAAGTAAGCTACAAGTTACAAAACCATATAGAATTACATGGCTGGTCCTCTGTTTGGACTTTGGACTTGACCGCTGCAGGAGAAAGTCTGACGGCCATCATGTCCGAGGCCTACCTCTTCGCCTACCTTTATCCGCTCCAGAAGGTCTCTGCTGGCATTCACTGCAGACCTGTACCGATCAGTCCTCTGTGCTCCTTCATCATCACACCAACTGTACTTAAGTCCCACTGCTAACGCGACCCCCACACCAAGTCCACACATCCAAATCCTGCACTTTGGTACGGATTTATTCCACCATCCGTGGTCTGGTCTGGGACGCTGAATGAAAACACTCCGCTGCTGCTTTACGGTAGCCGTTAGTGTAAACTCCTGGACTGAGAGCAGGGAACACTTGGCTGTACATAAGCGCTTTGGCGAAAACAACCGCAACATTGTTGGACGCCGCACTGTTTTTGTTTTCCTGTACCAGCAGCGAACTGTTATAAGCCAATCGGCAGGAGGACTAGTCTCATTTTAAATACAGTCGACTGCGACAAACCGGAAGTTGTCAGACGCAGCATTAGCTTAGAGCTATGCCGTTCTGTTAAGCAGATACATTGATAATGCGACTGAAAACAGCAGCTTTTCTGCAACGGTTGACTTTTTACATTGGAAGGAACATCTAGACAATAGTGGTACATGATCACATGCAGTTGTACCATTCCAACGAGTTGGACAATATGTTCCACCACACAGCCCATATAATGAGATGAGGCTGTAACTTGTTTATTTCCGGTGTGTATCGATTCAGGCTAGATAAATCGAGGTATGATCAACCTCATCGTTGATCGATGTGGAAGGAACAATTATTATTATTACAAAGAACTACTGTTTACAAAATGTAAACAACAAAAGCATTTAGGCTTACTGGATAACATGATATTTTATAAATAAATAAATAAATATGTATGTCATCGTCAGTAACCAGCATTTTTTAATCTTCCACCACCAGGCTCATTTATAACACATATCCATATATGGCTAGTGTTCTCATTTTTTAATTTTGATTTTTTTTTGCCAGCAATTATTAGCTTTTGTGAAGAATTTGTTACATTTTACAATTCTACTTTCACAGAAACCACCAGACTGGTGTTGCAGCTCAGTGTTGTCACTTTAACAGAAATTTGCAAATATTCAAACTGGATTTAACCATCTTAAACAAAGTCAATGAGAGGCTCGTATGCTGCCTGTTTTTTTCTTCTTTTTTTTACAGGTTGTTAATGGAGCCATTGTTTATGAACTAAATAGAAAATAGTAGGTTTTGCAAACATGCAGACAAGGTTATGCAATGTTCACATTGATTTTGAAATTATTACAGATTAATGAAACTTGCACAAAAGTGCAAATATTATTGCTATTAAACATCTAACCAAACACACATTCATATAACATGTTTACAGGCTTTAACTGTAACGCAGCACAACACAAACACACACCATATAACATGTTTACAGGCTTTAACTGAATTAGTTAAAATACATTGACCTTATCTATACAAATAAACATGTCTAGCCCTCATGCCTTCTTTTATGCACGCAGCACAACACAAACACACATACTCACACCCAGACGTAGCCTTATCTCTTCACTGGTGCACCAAAGGACTTTGACAGAGGCCACAGCAGATCTTTTACTGCTGTTGAAATAGAGCTTGGCTTATGTTCAGAGAATCACTTTGTTCCCCGTAATTTCACCTCAGTTGTTCAGTACCCCAAACAATCAGTCAAAACTGAAGAGCTACAGAGTACCAATGCAACAGGAACCAGGTTAGAAAACTTTCAAAACGTGCTTTTATTTAATAGTAATAATTTGTACATTTCAGATGATAAACACTTGAAACATCTACATTAAAATATTGCTAAAACAATGCACAACCAGATGACTGTGATCATACTTTAGAGAGAAAGATGAACAGATGTGAACTATGTTTTTAAAGAAAACTAAGTCTATACTGTAATGCATTAGCATTTCAAAGTCATTGCATAAGAATACAGTAGCACCAGTACACATATTGACATGCAGGCCAATATAAAACCCCTAAAGGCATAAATGTTCTTTAAAAGCATAGTTCATCTTGCTGCATGGAAATGTGTGCATGATTTTGAGGTTTACTTTAAGTGCAAAAATTTCTTTGCTTTAACCCTTTGGCTTGTGCATTATCAGGTTTGAATGGAACGTACCAGAAATGCAGATATAGGAATCAATTTGTAACCAATGGCACCAGATAATTAGCCAAAAAAGAAACATAAAAAAGACAAGAGATAAAAAAATGGTTTGTAAAAACAACGCTGCATTGTAGGCTTCATCAAGGGGAAAAGTTAAGCGTTTCTTCCCTTTGGCTTTGCTTCTTGGTTGAGTTCTGCTGAAGGCAGGCTGGTGCAATAGGAAAAGCATCTGGCTGTTTGTTGGTCACCGCAGACACGGTACGACAGGAGGGGTTCACGGTAAGCAAGGTGCAAGTACAAAAAGCCAAAACCCCCAAAGTGTGTGTGTGTGTGTGTGCGTTGGGTGAGGATGGGGATGGGGAGTGTTGTATCAGACAACAAGCTTTCACAAATTATTCAGTTCCATTAGAGTCTGGTCCAGCATCTGGTGCATATCGAGGTTTTCTTCCTTAGCATGTGACAGTTTCTCTGTTAGAACATTAAATGGAAAAGTTTTAATTTCAAACAGACAACGACAGGAGAAAGCCAGTTAGTTAGCAGCAGTAATAAAACTTCCCAACTCTCGTAATCATGTCGCTAGGTTTAAATACTCAAAGGAAACCACAGTTCACAAGCTCAGTCAATGGTGTTAGTGCAACTGTTTAACAGGTTACACCACAGCAAACTTAACGAGCGTCAATTTGATTTCTTTTTAATCTGAAAGTTACTACATTTGGAAGTCCACTTCATTGCTGTGTCTGCAGTAATGTATATTTTTAGACGTGTTAACTCCCGTTTACCTTACAGGCAGGTTAACACTCACATGAACAAACAAAACACACGGCAGTCACATCATTCAATGCTCATTCAAGGTTCACATGTAAATCATTAGTGAGAAGGTATTTTACTTAAGCTTCAGAGAAAAAGTTATGAAAAGACAGGACAGAGAAGAAACAGTTGAGAGGAAGGAAAGAGCATTCAGGACCCTACCTTCATTTGAACAGTCCACCAAGTATTTATTTTAGCTTAGTCCACTACAGTAAATGTCTGAAATTAAATTATCCACAACGTATTGATGTTCAGGATATATGGAGAGGTATTTTGGGGGAAGCTATTTATTTTCTTCTTCTTTCTCCCTGATGCACATACCAGGACTACCAGGCCTCTGCAGGGTTTCCTTTTTCATTGTCATAATTACAGTACGTCTAAATGCTAAACTAATTTCAAATTAAACAATTTACTAGATTTCTTATAGGCTAGCAAAAAATATAAACAATTATTTTTAAAAAATTGTTAACGTCAATACATCATCTTATCGTCTTAGATAAAATGTTCATTATAATATATATTGCAGTTGGATCATGAAAAAATATTGTATATATATATGATATATTGTATTTGTATGCTATGTCATTAAATATGTCTGTCCAACATTACAGATGGACAAAACTGCTACTCAGAATACACTATTTTCCACTATGGGTTTATTTGGACAGAAGTTTCTCAGAAATGCTCGTCCTACATTTTCAATTAAATTAAAAAACCTCTTCGCTGCAAACTGTTTTCCGTCTGTCTTTTTTGGGCCTGACATGTGGAAATAAAAATGTAATAAAAAGACTCAGAACTTGTGACTGTATATTTATTCACATATATGACAGGATACTGTGGATCATACATAGCCCGTGGGTCAGAATCATTCATATCACTTTCATCCATTTTTTTTAATTTCACCAACCAAATGGGTCTCAACAAATCTCACATACTGCTCTGTCGTCTACCCCTAAACCCAGTCATTTGACTTCACCACATTCTTCCTGATAACAATCCAACAATAACTCCCTCCCACTCTCTCATCTTTCCATCCTGCCACAGCACCAAGTAATGAAAAGTTGTTGCATGCATAATTCCCAATCCTACGGAAAAGAGAACTTGGCTCAGCCTTCAGTCAGGCACCTAAAGATGCTTAAGAATTAAAGTGCATATGGCACTTCTGTGATATTCCTAATACCTCAGCGCAACAAAACGATATCTGATTTAAACAAACAAACAAAACAAAAATCTCTTGACCCACTAAAGCTACACCAGAAAGAACAGAATGAAGCTAAACTATTTTTGTCGAGCAACAAAATTCAAAAGAAATTTGTGAAACTTATTAGAGCCGCTTGAAAATAAATTAAATGAAAATCAAACAGAAACAAAAGAAGTGATGAGGACAGGACAGAGTAAAGAGATACAGCTTACATAGAAGGTAGGACGTTTATTTTTTTACACAACGCAGAAAGATTCTAGGATTCTGTACAAGAGATGGGATGCACTTAACGTTGACGTGAGGGTGAAAACATGAAGAGGAAAGGAAAGCAACGACAGAGAGGGAAAGGGAAGTGGAGAGCAGGCTGGAGACAGCAGACAGAATCTGCTCAGCCGGCGGGAGGCGTCTTTGATGAGGTGTAAACAATTTATCTGTGAGGGAGAGGAGAAGAAGGAGAGTGAACCTGGGGGGGGCAGTCATGGAGGGGGAGACCTGAGGAAACTCGAGACAAGCACCACATCACAACCAGAGCCGCAGGAGTCAGGGCATTGCACTACCAAACCCATAATTCACAATGGAAATGCATTGTGAGAGAGAACATGCTGACGAGCACAACTCCCTCTGCACAGAGACCGTTCAGTAACAGAGCATGGGAACAAGTCAGTCACAATCCCATCCACAGAGACGATAATTCGTTTGACAGGGAACAACAACAGAGTTCTGTTGACACTGTCTTTAATCAGACAGTGTCAACAGAACAAACGACGTGTCGGCAATTCAATCCATATTAGTGAAGACAAAATGCAACAACAATCACAGTGAGTGATCATAACTCAATGAAATGCTTTAACACTGTGACATTTCACTTGACCTTCTGCATGCGTGGCCTCCGAGGTCAAACACTAATGTGGAACATTCCCATGAATGTTTTGAACAATAAACAATTCCAAAAAAAAAAAAACACACAAACTCAGAGATTTAACATCTGATGTTTCAAATGAAAATGCAAAAAAACCCCAAAACAACCACCAAACAGATTCATGCTCTGTTTGTTCCATGCATCTGATCACATTAGTCCTGACTGCGTTGTTCAAAACACCGATAATACAAACAGCATACACTGCTAGTTGTATTACTTTAAATTCAGTCACACAGACAGGGAATGACACAATGTCTGTTTTGAGAAAAATGTGAGACTCTAGGACAGACCTCATACCCAGTGTTAGTTTATGCACAGATTTCAGATTATAAAACAGGAATTTTGAGGGTGAGTTAAAGGGGGGTGTCGGGGTATTCAGAGGGGTTGACATGAGCAGGCAGAACTTGTTGAAAATTACATGGAAGTCATGTCGTTGAGGGCGTGGTCCAGCTCCTCGCTGATGGCCTTGTACTTCAGTTTCTGAGAATACAACTCATCTATTGGTGGGCCGGGGGAGTAGTGGGAGTGTGGGGAGGTGCAGCGAAAGAGACCAAAGGTGGTCGGACAGGTACATGACAAGGAGGTGGAGAGGAAACACCCAGACGAAGGAGGAAGTGGTATGAAAAGAAAAATAAATGGAAAAGGGAGGAAAACAAAGTTAAGTCAGGAAAAAAAACAGGAATGAAAGTATGAAGAAAGGACAAACTCCACAGCTCACTCAGCCTCACTCACCAAGCTTCATATGTAACCATAATTAAAAAAGGCAACACTTTTTTTAATCTCTGAACAAACAGATTCAAAATGAAGTAAAATAATCTGTGGTCAGCCGAATAATGGCTGAAGAGGAGCCACGGTGGCTTCAACAGGAAATAAAGTAGATAAAGGGCGGAGCAAAGAAAGAGCTGCTGAAGAAGTTCACCCACAAACTCTTAGCATCATAATAGAAACTTTTTTTTCTAAATAATCAGAGGAGCATTCTGAGGTTAAGTCATACCTTCCAAGTCATCGATGGTCTTCTCCAGCTTGGCTACTGATCTCTCAGCAAACTCAGCACGGGTCTCAGCCTGTGGTGAGGAGACAGATTTATGAGTGAGGCCAAAGCTGCAGCATCTGTGACTCATAGAAAAGCCGCTCGGTTTGACTCAGTGTGCAATTCAAAATGAGGCCGATCTGAAACTTCACCTCCTTCAGTTTGTCGGTGAGGACCTTGATCTCCTCCTCGTACTTGTCCTCCTTCTGTGAGTACTGTGGGACAAGAGCAGAGATGGGTGTCAAACATGAGGCTCCAGAAGGCCTGCTGCTGATCAAGCAAACGCCGACTTTACAGACACATAACTCCAATGTAACAGCTGAAGCATTTAGACAACATTTACCTGGTGATGTGGTGATGCTTACCTTCTCGGCCTGTGCCTCCAGTGACTTCAGGTTGTTGGTCACAGTTTTCAACTCTTCCTCAAGCTCAGCGCATTTGCTGGCATTTTAAAGGAGAGGAGTAGGTGAAGGAGGAGAAGGAGAGTGATGAAGTGAGAAGCAGGAGGAGAGTAATACAGAGAGGGGGCAGAAAAGTAAAAAAAAAGAACTCTGAAACTTCAATAATGAGAAAAACCTAAGTGACCTAAACAAGAAAGGAGTAAGACTCTTGACTCCACACTAAAAGTAGTTTGGGTTAAAGACTAGTAGCTGACACATGCTGTCAAAGTGAAACGCCGTGCTCTCACTCAGTGACGGTGTTATTCTCACAGTCCCTGCTGGGTCAGATACATGAAGGAGTGGGTGACCCAAAGTTAAAGGAGAATGAAAGAGGGAAGGAAAAAGCAGAGCAAGCAAAGGAGAGCAAGCGACACGACGGAGTGAAAACAGCCGCCCTTAGAAACTCAGTGTGTGTGTGTGTGTGTATGCACATGTGTGTGTGTTAGTTTCCTCTTTTTAGTACCTGTGTCACTGAAGAGTATAGTGATTTCATGCTTTGCTCCGTAACCCTTAGTTCTTCCTCCAATCTCCGAGCGTTTCTGTTAGTGGGTGTGACGTGCGTGCGCAAGACGAGACCATTCAAAACCGTGAAGGAGCATGCAAATAGTAAGGACACACAGTGAGGACACAGGGCACAGAGTTAAAATGGATGACACGACCTGCACTAGTGGTAGCATTAGTGAGGGAACGCTAACGCTCTTCGGTGGTTGTTAGAATAAAAAATGCAGGTGAGAGACTGTACCTTTCTGACAGCTCAGCACGCTCCTCTGTGCGCTCCAGGTCACCCTCAATGATGACCAGTTTACGAGCCACCTTCACACAGAGCACAGCAAAATGTCACAACGCGAACACTACAATAGTGTATTTGTATTTTTTAATATAGTTTTTTCCACCAGAGTCTGGACAACTCACCTCCTCATACTTGCGGTCAGCCTCCTCAGCGATGTGTTTGGCCTCTTTGAGCTGGATCTCCTGGATCTCCATCTTCTCCTCATCCTTCATGGCTCTGTTCTCAATGACCTTCATGCCTCTGTGATTGGGAGAGAAAGGGGCATAAAGAGGTGTTAAGACTGATCAGGTACTCATTTCTTTGTACTACTGACTGCTGAGAACCTTCACATCTTCACTGAAGACTAAAAAGTACTTTGACTGTGACCTGGAGCAGGAACATCATTAAGAACCCGTGCAGCTCTGCGGCACACAGACTCTGCTTGTGTACCGCACAAAGGGATGTGAACACAGGGACATCTTTGTGCACTGCCTCCACCTGCTCTTTTCAACGCGACCGAGTGACAAACCCACCTCTCGCTCTCGTCGGCAGCCTTCTCAGCCTCCTCCAGCTTGGTCAGGGCAGTAGCCAGACGCTCCTGAGCACGATCCAACTCCTCCTCAACCAGCTGGATACGTCTGTTAAGGGAAGCGACATCTGCCTCAGCCTGGAGAGAGAAGAGGAAAATAACGTCAGGATCACAACTTTCACAGACAACCTGGAACAAAAACACATGTGCAGATTTACACATCAGCCCAAAAAAGTATTTTATAGGTGGGAGTAAATTTCCAGTTTATACCTGATGGGTATTTATATGCATTCAGTAGGTATAGTCACAGGTTGCTCTGCAGGATTTCTGTCACCTGTTTAACAGAACACTCCCAGGAGGCTCCTAACTGTGTATAGTGATAACAATGGCCCGAGCCGACAGGTTAGAATTCCCTGCCTCATTACAAAGCTCTGGAGAGAACATTAATAAGAATCACCTGACCTGAGGCATTTACACTGGAAGCCACGGCTCACACAACAGGCTAGTCATTCAATCATAAAGAACGTCTCTATGTGGGTTGCACTAATGTCTAACTGCTCACGTTTGTCACACAGAGGTTGATTTTTTTGAGGTTTGGTCTTTAAGGCCCGTATTGAGTTGAGCTTCAGGCACTAATGCAGGCTGACAACAGAACACAGCTACAATCAGTCTGACTGACTCACAGGCTCCTTACCAACTGTTGTAAATTAAAAACCAAAGTACACTGTTAGGTGTGAGGTCTTATGATAAGGCATTTTTAATCTCTAAACTGAATTAGAGATTAGAACGTGATATCTTAGTGGAAATATATTTGATCATACAATAAACTGGATGTGTTTAACATTTAAAAAATTGAGATTATACCATGAAAATGAAAACTAAAGAAAATATAAATAATCTGAAACGCCCTGGTCAAGGCAGTTTGATGATGGTGATGTAGGAAGTCCTCTCCATCCACCATCTCCATTTTCACATTCATAGAGTTAGAGTGAAGTCACTGTAGCTGCAACAACCTGTTAGCCTTATATGGGCAAAGTCAACGAGCAGACTGACACCTTCAAACATTACCACACTTTACTCGCCACTTCCTGGTTGGTATCTACAAAAATACTATTTTCAACTGTCAAATGCAATGTGTGCAGCCACACAACAAAAGAGGAACTTGCTGCTACTGCACGTGTGACCGGACCGTTATAAAACCTTGGGCGTCGCTCAGAGAAAGATGAACGACTCTGAAAAGGGGAAAGAATAAGGGAACTGAAAGACACGCGAGTGTAGCGTGGTCGCTGGGCTGCTGAGAGCTGAAGGCATCAGAGGCCTAACGTTACTAATCAAAGACTCTCAGAGCCCGGGAGCAGCAGCCTCTCAGAGCCGTTTGCACTAAGATTACTTTGAAGAGGCTGCGCCCCGTGCCAAAAACATAACTCAGCACTGGAGCGTGCCAAAACATTACAAAACAAAACGCTCTTTAATACAAAACCTAAACCGAGAAGACGATGCAACAAAAGAACGCAAGCAGTGATGGTGATGAGGTGTACCTAGTCACTGAGCAGCTGGCGTACGTTAACATGCTTACTTGATCCCTGGCTTTTCTCTCCGCAAGCAACTCCTTCTGTATTCGTTCGGCTCTGTCCTCTGCAGCGTCAACCTGCTCCTGCAACGACTTAATCCTCCGTTTCACTGCGTCAAGAGACGTAACGCCGGCCATTCTTTGCTCTAGAACTATGGGGTTCGAAAAACAGCTAATGTGACTTCGTGCTGAAGCAGCACTGGTTTCCGAGAATCTGACAAGCGGCGCGGTGACGTCCTGAACGCTGCGTGAAGATAGAAGCGCGGTCTGTGCGCGAGCTTTCTGGAGACGCGCTCTGGAAATGCCTGATTTCAGTCCAGGAAATGCATCGTTTAACATCCAGTGTAACTACCCTGGGAACATATGTTGGTGCTTGACATATGCATATATTTAAAAATGCACTAAAATGCATTTTCTAATGAATATGAACGTAATTTTAACAGCAGGAAGAGAACAGATAATTAATTCGTCATCATTATTATGGTGAAGTGACGGGGCGACAGCGCCCTCTGCGGGCCAAAAGTCCGAAATACACCTGAGAAAAAAGCTGTCTACTGTTGAAAAGCTACATTTATTATTATTATTATTATTATTATTATTATTATTATTGTTGTTGTTCTTATTATTAATAGTAGTAGTAGTAGTAATTTATTTATTTTTCTTTCTTTTCTTATTTACATTTAACTGAGCAGCTGATAATTCCCTGTAATTGTAAATTTGTAAATTTGTTTATTTTTAAAATTTCTTTATATTTTGTCCCATGTTAACCTCTGACCTTTAGATGCTGCCATGTGCAAAGTTCCTCTGTGTAGGATTACTAACATCAGATCCAATCTACATGTATTTCTAAGCAACGTTTTTAACAGACTGATGAAAACAACATATTTTTGTAAAGTTACTTATTCACATCAGCCTTGCTAAAAAATTGCCCTTTAAACTAAAAGTTTTAAACTCTGCTACAGTGTTGTGTCACCAACAAAAGAAAAGAAAAAAAAGTTTCCTCCTTACTGGCTAAGAACGGGGTCAGCATTAAAAGTTATAGATTGAGTTAAAGTCCTGCACTTTCACCCTGAAGGAATTCAATTAAAGCATGACTGCAGTGTGGTTTGCTCAGGGAATGTTGATGAGCCACACTGTAAACTGATTCCTGTCTTTGACCTTTGAGAGCAGCCATCTCTGTCTGCTTTAGTTGAACTTGCCCCTGACCACAGGGTCACTAACAGAGGCTGTTTGTCACAAGAAAAGGTTTGTGACAACTAATGGTGTGTTCTGTATCCAGCAGGTCACGGCCCATAAATGCCTCAGGTCTGAATTCCTTACATAGTTTTCCTATCAAATCAATCTGATTTTTTTTTTTTTTTTGGAAATTCTGAAAAAAAGTGTTAAAAAGTATCTTTAAAAGAACATCCCCATGTTGGTTGGATGAGCTAAATGTGTTTTTTAAATCAGAAGGCTGCCTGAGGCATTTTGCTGGGAACCAGTGTTTTTTTTCCCCTTCGTAAGCAAGGAGCAGCAGCCGCCGCAGATGTGAGCTCTATCTTGACCATATAAAGCAGTGGGCTATATTTATCCAGCTGCTTGCTGTCATTGCTCTTGTGAAGACTGTACATTACACCACTGCAGTCCTTGGTCTAAAATATACTCTACCAGCAAGGGAGAACTCCTTCAGGTCAAAAAAACATGTAATTACCATACAGAATAAGTGAGCTATTTAAAACATGTTTTAGTCAAATGGCCAATCTGACTTTAGGGCTGACTTGTAAGTGTTTCTGCACATGAATTTTCACAGAAATAAGTAACAGTTCCACTACACATGAACACAAGAACTTATTTGGAGTTTGTGGGTGGAATCTAAGAATGATGAAATTCTAGCCCAAAATAAATAAATAAATAAATAATGCAATAAGATGAAGGCTAATTTCTCTGCTACTGAACTGTCACTTGACACATTTACAGTGGTGATGAGAAAGTGAAGGTATGCAGGAATAGTGCTGCTGTAGTGCAGGACTGGTGCAGTTGTGAATCCCTCCGTTTACTTACATCGGTAGCTTTCTTCTCAGCCAGCTCAAGTTTCTCCTGGGCATCTTTAAGAGCCTCGGAGTACTTGTCCAGTTCATCCTCAGTTCCCTTGAGCTTCTTCTGCAGAGCTACCAAATCGTCCTCAAGCTGAGGCAGGTTTCAGTGCAGCGCAAGTTTCAGAGGTGATCAGCAGAGGGAGGAGTGGGGAGCGTGAGTGCGCACAGGGGGCGCAGCAGCGTGGACAGATGGAACAGCAGTGGACAGGAGAAGACAGGACAGGGACAGAGGAAAGAAGAAGAGAGGAGACAAAGTTAGGGGAGTCCATGCAGATCAGAACCAGATACCTTCGTGGCCGTCTCCTCCGCGCCCAGCAGTTTTTCTTCAGCAGTTTGGAACTCCTCAAACACTTTGTCTCTTTCGTCCTCAGTTACGCGCAATTTCTTTTCCAATTCTCTCATTTCGTCCTCTAACTTCACATGCATTAAAACAATACATCATTATACAGAAGAGAAACCAACGTATTAAATCAACAATACACATGCAATCATCCATTAATTTATCATTACTATGAAATAACTTTTAGGGCTGTATTTACAGCATCACCTATGGCCAAAACATCTGAGAGGAGAAATTAAAACATCCAAGATCCAATCTTAATTAAATCCTTATTTGGGATTATCCGCCAGAGTAATTAATCCGTATTTAGGACGCAGTCCAATAAAGTAATCCTGTTTTTTTCTACGGATCATTGAGATGCTCCACAAAAGAGATGGGAGAAGAAAAAAAAACTATAATCAGCCGACCTGTTTGCTTCTGTCCTCTGCTGCTTTCTTGTCTGACTCGGCCTGCTCAGCTCTGTCCAAGGCATTCTCCTTGTCGAGCTTGAGCATCTGCATCTTCTTCTTGATGGCATCCATGGCTGCTTATTGATACTCGCCGGCACCGACACGTCCAAATGAAAAAGCAGGGAGAGACTGGGAGCGAGGGGCTTGGGGCGTCTGTGCCTAACTGAACGCTAAGCTGGAGTACGGGCTCTGCCTGACTGTGCCCTGTCAAATATGTACTTTCAAGGGGGCCTGACTGGATTCCTTTGGACATCCAATACTTTTTTGGAGGAGGCGTGTGTGTGTGGCCGGGCGTTTTTTTAAGGAACTGCTCAGTGATTGGTCGCTCCCAGACATTTGACTTTTGATACGCCTTTATAGGGGTTGTGATGGACAAGAGGGCAGATCCCTGGGAAAGTAACAGAAGCCATATAACTGTGAGGATGCACATGGACACCATTCCTAAACAACATTAAATCTCTGCATGACACCCGTGTGGAGTTTGCTTTAGCAGTGCAGCAGCTGATTGAAAACCAGTATGGGTGACTTTGAACTTTTGGGCCAGTTTCCTTTTTGGTGAATCCAGCCACCTGTAGTGTGTGCGTGCGCGCGCGTGTTTGGGTGAATGAGTGATAACAAGTTCCTGTGGGAAAGGCTGTAGTGGCCATTGTGATAAGAAATGCTCTCTGTAAGCCATGGAAGCCCTAGAGGCATTGTTTGCACGCTGATGGGCTCTAGACAGGGAAGTGTTTACCTGATAAAGTATCAGATACCCCTCCCTGTAAACTGTTGATGTGTCACTGAGTTGTGGCACCACATTAGCAGCAACAAACAAGAGGGATTATGGGGTTTATAGCTGAATTAATCCACTAAACCACTGCTGCAAATCTAAAGAAAAAAAAAAGAAGCTTTTTTTCCATGTTTCAGAAATTATAAAATACATTATATTTTACATTATATTATTTCCATAATATGGTTACAAATGCCTCTAATAGACTGAATGGTTTATAAATACTTTGTTTTATTTTAGACTGTTAATAAAGTGCAGTGCGACTTAAATGCTAAGACACTGACTGTGGTAACTGAGGACACACTAAGGATCTCCTGGTCTCCACCAGGCTCCTTAAGAGATATTTTTAGGATCTTCTTCTCTTTCGTGCACCTGCCTTGGTCTGTAATATGTATCCCAGGGTCTGTGCCAAGAGTACAAGGTCTAATGCTATTAGATATGTGCCCCAAAATAATCCTGGTCGTGTACTTGCTCTGGTCTGTTTTATACATTATTATTGCTGATTTAAAAAAATACATTGTATTTTGAAGGAAACATTTCATCATTTTCTATAATCTAATAATAATATTGTATCCAAATAATTTGACAAACACCAGCATTGGTTTCCATTGTGTTTGTTAAGTACATTGACTTATATATTCTGTGATATTTGGAGTGATTTTTAATGAGTTTGTATACTTTGTTGTACCTGCTGACAGTGCTAATGGATCCTACCATATTAACATAAAAACAGCTAATCTATTTGACCAACATTTGATTAGTTTAATGTCTAATATGTTGACAGGAGAGCGTTGGTTGTGTTATTAATATGACACTGGAGCCCTATCATCCTCAACAACATTTCAAACACTCACAGGAGCTTTGTGATGGCTTATTGGACAGACGCTGGCATTTTGGGAACGATAATAAACATGAATATTATTTATATTCATTCATACATTTGTTAGGGCTCGATTATGTTAAGGTTATCTCGACAGGGAGAATTGGAACCAGTCCTAACTCACACAGGTCAAACAAAGTGAACTGGAGCGGCTGGTGACAATTTAAATGTCTCATCAGCAGAGTTTGACAGAAATCATTATATTCAAAATCTTCCACAACAGTTATTACTAAACGTATGCCCCAGTGTTTCTGCATTAAACCCTGCTCTAGTTATACTTCCTTCTCAAATGATTGCCACCAGCCATGTTAGTAAGGGATCCAATGGCTTCTGAAGGCGTCAAATGTGTTGAAAACATTGAACACACAAGCTCAATCATCAGCCAAGAATCTTCATCCTCCCTGTCTTCAAACGGCTTTGGCGATGTAGTTTGACCTTAATGAATAATCTTGAATTATTCTGTGGAATCACAGAACCATTTTCTGGCAAAAACTCTGACACGTCAGAATCCACGATCGTCTCTGTGTCCTGAGACAGTCGTCTACCCACGGACGACAGCTGTGTGAAACAGGTGCAGCACAGAAACTGACTTCATATCATTATCTTTACTTCCTGGCTGCGTGAGACCGTCTGTTAAATTTAGTAAACAAGTTCGATAGTTTCTGAAGCATCATTAACAAATCAGACAATTGCAGGGGCTCGAAGTGTATCAGTAATGATCCAAAAAGTCAAGGCATGCAGCAGGAGACCGTACAGTGTGGGCGTGAGGCAGCCCGGCAGCTCAATCTGTGGTCATTTAAATAACCCGCCAGTGTTTCCAAGTGCCTTCGCACTAAGACTAATAGTGTAACATTGTATTGGTTAATCTGTTAGGACGATACTGACAAGCTACTATGCACGTGGAATGTCCGGTTCGACTGCGGTGCCGCTCAGGGACAAGGAAAGCTTTGCTTGGCTTTTGTGGCTGAGATGATGTTTGTATAAGGGCACCCCTGGGAGAGACGTTTAAGGTTCTCTCATGGTTAAAACCTAAGTGCCTCAGAGAAACTATGTGTTTGAGGCTCAGTCGCAATGAATTTCAGATGCGGGAAATGGTCAAATGTTTAAAGGCGTTTGATCTTTAGTAAGTTCCCTTCATGTGGTCGAAAACTATAAATGCTTTCAACGCCCTTGATGCTTTGCACAACATTTATTGTCTTTTTTCATTATTGAACGACAACATTTATGGTTATTATTCAATGCTGTGAGATTTGCTCAAATGTGAGTGTTCAAATGGACACGAATTAGCCGTGGCATTAAAAGTGTAGCTAGCGTTTCACAGGGCGCACCACAGGGTGAAACCCTGAGAAGCACAGCACTGGCAGGCACTTCCTCAAATGCCATCTGATGATTTCTGCAGACATCGTCCAGATATATATATAGAGAGGACTCCTTGGCTCTCGGGATGTCACCCACGGGATTAGATAGCTCCATGAAGGGACATAATCATTTAGCATGCATAAATGGAGAGGCAGAATGGTGGGGGCAGTTCAGGCTGTAACCCAAGCTACCTCGATGCCCTACTGCTGCCGGATTTATTCACCGTAATGTTCCACCGGTGTGTGTGTGTGTGTGTGTGTGTGTGTGTGTGTGTGTGTGTGTGTGTATACTAGTGGTTGTTAGGCTCAGGCTGGTACTCTGGTTAGCAGAGATAGGCACAACTAATGCACAGGGGCAGTTAGAGTGTTTAACGTGACACACAGAGGCTGTGAGGCTCTGACATTTTGACTCACAGTTGACTTTAGTGGTAAATCTGTCATTAAGGATGTAAATCAGGCCAACCAGTGCCTCAGACTGGTTAAAGTTCAATGTAAACCTTTCACTCGGCTCATGTAAAAGGACGTACAAGTTCACTATTCAGCCATCCCCGCTCAATAATTTAAAGAGTCAAATTCCTGGAGCATGAAGGTCAAATTTCTCTACTGCAGGTGCTTCACTTCACAAAATGTGTAGCATTCCAGGTTAGTGCCACTGTACAAGTAGCTGCTGTTGACTGAGAGGATCTGTCATCTCACACTGTGAAGTCACAGGCCTGGAGTCACGCATGTTTTTAATCAAAATCCTGGAAAGTTTTGAAATGATTTCATGACTGACACTGATCTCCTTGGAGGAAAAATGCACTGCATCTGGATAGTTTTCAAAAGTTTTAAATGTAACATTGGTCATATTTAAAAAATACAGCATCATCATTGTATTCTTTAATCATGGTAATGATTCTACAAAGTTTTTGGGCGCTCATCTTTTTATAGCTAATCAGAGCTAGCTAATGCTAAAGCAGAAGCAATTAGCTTATTGACTTTAAATAAAAAAAAGATATTGTTATTGTGTTACATTGTAAAGTTTTACAAAGCACCAGTTGTTTTAAACACGGTAATTAAAAATCTTAAAATTGTGACTGTCTATTAACCAATATATTTTTAGATCATATATACATAGCAATGATAATGGTAACATAAACAACTTCTTAAATTGGAGTTTGAATGGAAACATACTAGATTTATTTTAGGGTCTTGGTATTTGCTTGTAAAAACATCAGATTAAAAAAACTTACATTACAGAGAAAGTACTAGGAGGTACTAGTGTCAGAGGGATTACCAAGATGTACCAAAAACAAATCGGTAGAAAAACAAAATAGTGAGAGGTGAGTCTATAGGCCCTCAAAAAGTCCATCAGGTTGAACTTAACAAACAAATGAAACAATTGTTAATGTAAATAAAACCTGGAAACCAGTAAAAGCTACTATGAAAGAAACCAGTGTGAGCTGTGATGTTAAAATACCAGCGTGAAAGCTTCCACCACTCCCAACACAAATGTGGCTACATGTCATAATGGAGGCATAGTTGTGGCGGCACGCAGCGCTCCTCCCTGACTGTTTGTTTGTGTTCTCCCTCTACAGTATGGGACACACAGAAAGGCAAGGAAGGCCGGGCGTTTCGGATGCTGCTCAGTCAGTCCAGACTGAGACGGGGGGAGCAATCGAGGGGAACTGTCACGACTCATTTCCAGCCCATATGGAAAACCACGATAGACTCCAAGTGTCAAATTAAATTCTGACCCCCCCCCCCCCAAAAAAAAAAAAACAGCCAAACATGTCACAGCATGAAATATGGGACAAAAAGAGTCACCCTGCCTGACATTCTGCAGAGCAAATGCATCTTTGACACAGGAAGTCAAATCTTTATCACTTTGGTCTTATTTATTTGTAAACAGGAAAAGACCCCGGAGAGCACAGGGAGTAAATGATTGTTGACAGGGAGACTGAAGCTGCTAAACAGCATCTCAGCTGCAGTCAGCTTCACATTGATTCCCACAAACACTGTGTACTCCGCAGCTCACCTCTAGTGGACATTTGTTGTCTTTTTAACTCACTACACAGACGCTCTGCATCTTGTTGATGACTTTTGTCAAATACTTGTCATCAGACCTTTCCCCCCTCTATGTCACAGGGTGGGAAGTTTCCGTGTTTGCACACTAAAGGGAGAATCCTCCATATATGTGTCCATATAAGGGCTCTTCTCCCTGCACTGGTGGAGACA